AGCAGAGTCACCCTGTGGGCATTGCAAGCCTTCAATCACTATAGAGACACCCAACCATAGCCATTACTAAGGCATGGTAAGCTCAAAAAGAAAGAAAGGAGGATTGGACTCTCAGAGGGAACAAAGGAAGATGAGAAGCAGTTAGAACAAATGTATGGGTAGCTGAGTTTATAAAACTAGACTTTCAAACAGTAGTAATGGCAGTTGATGGAGGGCCTCGAACAACAGACCTGACTTCCCACATTGCCAAATCTCTGCTTCCAGTTGGGGACAAACTTTAGTTTGATACCCATTGAACCTGCCTGAGCATCTTAGATGTGAAGAAGTCATTATGGTTACAGCCAAGGATGTCCAAAAGGCTCTATGTGCAGAAATCAAGATGAAAATGAAGCCAGCTATTGTGTGCATTACTGATGAGCCTGACATAGGAACTGCAGATCCTCTGTACTCCATCTGTCCAAACCTTAAGTAAGACTGATGTGCTGGCACTGAGCTGTGATCTAACAACAGATGTTGCCTTACATGAGGCTGCAGACCTGTTCAGAACTTATGATGCATCACTCGCCATGTTAGTGAAAAAGCGTCAAGATAGTTTAGAACCAGTTCCCGGTCAAAAGGGTTAAAAAGTAGAGCACCGTGACTTCATTGGAGTGGACAGCACAGGAAAGACACTGCTCTTTATGGCTAATGCAGCAACATGGATGAAGAGCTGGTCATTAAGGGATCCATCCTATAGAGGTTCTCACTATGTAGCCCAGGCTAATCTTGAACTCTCTACCCATATGCTTCAGCCTCCCAAGTACTGATATTACAAGCATGCACCACCATGCCAGGACACTGTGAAATTTTATAACTCTGATAACAAAGATCATACAAGCTCCCAGAGAGGAAGGAGTATTAAAACAGCTTTGAACTTCTTTAAAATAAATGGGGGGAGAGGGGTAATAGAACAGTACATATAACATTCCATAGCATAAATAATAGGCCTTTTCTATTTAACTGGGTGGGGGGGGGTGCGGAAAACAACCAATGAAAGACACAGAGTCTTACAGAAACTTTCCAAATCTCAGAATGCAGGTAGATAGAAAAATAAAGAGAATCAGGAAGGTCACAGGAGGCACCTTGTAGGTAGTGGTGAGAACAGCAGCCTCATGTTCTTGGGCATCCTCCCTCCTTGGTTATCTTAAACAGGGAGGGGATGGGCCATGACCAGCACTGCGAATTCCCTTGGGTGGGCAGCCGCACAGGGGAGGACAGGAGATGAGAGCTCTAAAGGAAAGATGGGCTGACATAACTCCTGGGATCCCCTTTCTATGAGAAGACAGAGATTCAACAGAATCACTGGAGTTGAGAGAGGTCGTAGTGTGTTCAGGAAAATTACTAAATTGTCCCTTGTGTAGTGGATAATCTGTCTTATGTTACATATATAAATATTTACAAAATATACCATGAAGTATAAGGTTCAAATCCAAAACTTACTAGAGTAAAGTGCCTGAACTATGTAAGTGCATTACTCACAGACACACTTAAAATATAATGTGCTGAAATCATAAATTTATCTTCAAACAAGTGAAAGCACTTCACTATCTCTGCCAATAACAATGCCATTTTCAAAACCTTTCAATAACAAATATGATATTTCTTTCAATATCTCTCTAAAGAAAATATCATAGCCTTTGCCTGAAGGTCTGGTTTTCTCCTTTAACATAATTTGTAATCTTTACTAGTACAGAATCAGGAGAGGTCACAAGAAGCACCTTGTGGGCAGTGGCAACAGCTGCCTCACCTTCTTGAGCATCCTCAAGATGCATGGTGGCATGTGGCCTGCTTGTAGACTAGAATGATGGCAAGAGAATGCAACAATCTCCTAGACAGGTCACCCACCTCAAACCTGTATTAAAAAAAAATAGAAAAAGAAAGGGAAAATGGGGTGTAAGTACTGTTACCACATAACTTCTCTGGACTTTTAATAGTGTGTCTTGAAAGAGAACTCATCAGCTTCAACTTTAGAAGAAAAAAATTATAGATTTATAAATTTTAGCTTTCAATAGTTTAAACATATACAGCTTTCTCAGAAAGGTTACCAACTTGATATAATGAACTATTTTAGAACATTCAAAATGTTAAGTTCTGCCACAATATTGTGTCTCTCATACTGCAAGGAAGATACCATGCCCAAGATTCCCAATATATGACTAATAGAGTAAACGTATCTGAATTTTTACATTTAGGTTCATTTTGTTTTGAACATGCAAAATGTTAATGACCTTCAGTTTATACAATAAACATAGTTCCTGGTACATGGCATATACTCAAATTACAGTATTACTATCACTGGCTATCCAGGAGGCAGGGGTCACAATATTCCAGGAATTTGGCCAGAGTGGTCAGGTACACGGTATAGAAAGAAATTAGAGGGAGAAGCTATGTGAAGGCAAGACTCTAGCCCACAGCAACCACTGGAAGAACTACTATCAAATGCCATCTACTGTACCAGCCACCTAAAGACAATGTAAGGGACATGGACTTTCTCAAGCCCAATTCTGAGCTTTTATGTTCTTTTTTTATAGTATCTTAGATCTCTTCATCTTTAGCAAATAAAATAGTTTATATTCCAATTTGGCAAGAAACTACATAAATCCTAACTAATGTATTTATTCATCCTTCATCCACTTTCCTTACAAGAGAAATTCATATTCATTCAATTTTATTGTACTAGACTTACTGGGTCCAAAAGCAAAATTTTAGAAATAGGAGCCAACTTTCCTGATCTTCTTTTTAAACAGTTATCAATGAGATGCACGTGGCTCTGTAAGTGGAGTCCTGAGAAACAATGTGTACATCAGAAAACTTTAACATGAAGACTGCAATGAAAAGTACTCAATGCCCAGTCTACCAATATGAACTATAAGAAATGGAATGAAGTGTAAGCCATTAATATTTGCTAGTAATTATTAGTGGATGAACTGGATTAGTGATGATTGTTATTTTTTTTTTAAGTAGGAAATGGCGGGACAAAGTGAACTAAACATGAAAAACTAGCAGCTCTGACAGACCCAGAAATTGATCCTGCTCTGACAGACCCAAAAATTGATCCTAAGACAGAAGCTGACCATAAATACCACATTTCAGACTTTCTAACAGTTCTCCTGAATTAAATCTTATGACCAGGACTGTGGAGTGGCTCAAGTGGTAGAGGCCCACCTAGCAAGCAAGAGGCCCTGAGTTCAAACCCCAGTACCACCAAAAATAAATAAATAAATAAACCTTATCACCAGAGACTAATAGGAAACAACCAATAGCAAAATATATTTTACAGTACTTTAAATCATAAACAAGCATATGCTTACCCGAATCTTAGCATTATGGTAGGTAGGATATATATATGGTATAAGTATGTACTAAATCATAGTTTTCAAAATAAAGATTTTCTGTTTAGAATTTCAGAACTTATACCGTATACTTTTATTAAAGTTATGTTAATATCTGCATGCATATTTTTAAATTAAGTGTAACTTAGCTATCTTGAATATCTAAATGTGGTGAAAAGAAGCAGAAACATTTGTGCATCACAAATCCACTAATGTAAATTGGTTCAAATCCTTCTTAGAAGTAGACAGGTGATAAATAATAAAATTATTAAATATGCATAAGTAATTCAAAACACTCAAATTACACTCAAACACGTTGTTTTTATTACATACTAAATTTAAAAATACAAATTCCATTAAAAATGCTTATCAAACACTGTATATATAAGTACTGTCAAATACTACTGGATTATGACATTATGTACAGTGGCTAAGGTTATTTAGAAACAGAACAAAGTAGCATAACTTTGCTGATACTGAATTTCAGAAGTCAAATGTTTTTCAATTTGGCAACTGTGAAGTAGTAATCTGCACAGGATGATTTGCAGAGGTAAAATAGTAGGAAACAAACGGAGTCATGCAGCTTTCCTGTGCTAAGAGTTAATAAGAAGATTTCTTCCTCCTCCTCCTAAGTCTTACTGTAACAGATTAAAGTGCACAAGACCACCAGGAATACTTGATTTGGTTGTACCCTAAATACATACTACAGGAAGCTGTGCTGCCATATTGAGGGTTTCAATTCTTTGAATTCCTCCTGAGGCTTTGGAAATTCATTTTGAATGTGGCAAAGGGAAGGGAGGACAACACTTCCTAAATTGCACCAAATGGCCTTAAAGTGTAAAAACACCATAGATAAAAATATTAATTTGGGAATAGATTCAAGGAAATTATCCTGTCTATTTTGCCCTAGGAATAAAATTAGAACAAGGATCTAGTTTTGCCTCTGGAAAATGCTTACTAAAAATCTGTTTCAAAAGATCAGACATATACAGCAAGCACCACAATACTGTCAGTTACTGTTCACCATGTAGATAGTGGATCATAAATATCAGACATAAACACCTGCCCTCTAAGGGGTCACAATATAGGCAGAAACATGTTAACACTTGACACTTATTTTACTAATTAACATTAAGTATAATTTGTAAAAAATAGGTCACCACCATACAATCAAGGAAGAGGAGAAGGAAAGCTATTCTACAAAAGTGCTCCTTTTACCTTTCAAACCCAATAGTTTAATTTTGGGTAAAACAAGATTGTAAGGTTAGGTCATCAGTTCTAAATAAGCTGATGATGCCATATATATACATACTCACATATATATGTTTAAATTTCAATTCTGATTTAAACTAATATACTAGTACAAATCATGTATAGGAAACATTTCATCTGTCTTATTTACAAACATGATGAGTAACAAACATATGGAAAATAAAAAAAATTGCAGATAAACATAGCCATACTTTGCTGAAGATAAGACATTCACATAATTTAAAAAAAAAAACAAAAAAGAAAAATTTTAAAAAGAAATCCCTACCATATATATCTATTGATCACTGGACCTAAGAGGCAGATAAATGTAATGATCATGATTAAATTTTTATTAGTTTCTTTTAATAACATGTCAATATGAGGTCTACTTAGAGTACTACCTACAAATACACATTCTCTCATGATTTAATGAGAATATTAAGTTACTGAATACATTTTTTCACTCCCATGGCACATCACACTTGGTAACACTAATAAGGTAGATTTAGATAACACTTAAATCATGATTACGAATGTTTAATTGAATATTTTCCTTTCTGTAGCTGTGAAATGTAAAGCTTAGATTTGCTTCCATCAGGCCTCTTAAACCAAACTTCATCATGGTTAATTGTTGTAATTACAGCACTAAAAAAAAAAAGAAAGAAAGAATGAATGAATTGAGTTATGATATGCCTCTTCATCTCATTTTAGGTAACTAGCTATAAAACCAAAAAGGCTGTTCAGTACATTTACCAAAATGCTGCATTATGGCAAGGCATGTAGTCAAAAGTATCACATTCAGGAACACTCAATGTGTAACGTTCTTTCTTTTCTTAATAGAGTTGGTGAAATTTACTTTCTCTTAGAACTAGAGCCATGTAGTTCCTAACTGTTTTGATCAGCAATGGACTTCATCTACAACAGGGGCTCCAACAGATTACAATGGGGCTAAAGTTCCTAGTTACGATGTTTCCATCAACAACGTAACACAATGCTTTATCCAGGTTTGTGGTGATGCTGGTGCACCCAAAGCTACTACACTGCCAGTCATATGAAAGTACAGCAGGTATAACTCTGTACAGTACATAACATTTGATAATGATAATAAATGACTTCATTATTGGTTTTTGTACTTGCTGTACCATAGTTTTGTTTAATTTTAGAGTGTACTCCTTCCACTTATAATACAAGGCTTACTGCAAAACAGTATGCTGTGTTATAGGAGCAGACTCATATATATCATGTTCACCTTATTTCTTGATTGTATCAAGAGACCACACTAATCTATGACATCTAGGTTTCTGTAAGTGCACTATACCGTGTTTACACAACTGCCAAAATGTCTAATCGTACATATCCCCCTTGTTAAGTGACACGTAACTACATTAAATGCACACCATTCATACTCCAGCCCCCCAAAAAGACAGAGTGGAACTAAAACCATTGTTTATGTGGTGTTATACACCCTATTCACATCAGCCTTAACTGTAGGAAAGCTTCTAAATACTAGCCCCTAACTCCCAGTGTCAGATTATCTGCGGCTTTAAGGTTTTTGTTTGTTTTTAAATATACTAATCTTTACATTAGAAATTTTTTAAAATCTATTTAAGAATAGATTTGTGTTTTCTCCTGTTTTATGCTGTCATCTCTTTTTTTATAGCTACATTAATGCTAAGAAGTAGTAAGATGTCTCAAAAACCAATAAAATAATAGAAGAATCCTAAAGTGTTATACATAATCTAATAATTAGCTTAATGAATTTCTATGAGAAAAGTTACAATGCACTGTTTCTGGAAGCCTAAAATTTAAAGGTGAAACTATAATCTAATTAAATTAGTATTTGAAACTAACTTGGAAAATGAGTATTCAAAACTAAACTCAAGCTGGTGGAGTGGCTCAAGTGGTAAGAGCACCAGCCCAGCAAACATGAGGCCCTGAGCTCAAACCCTAGAGCTGCCAAAATTACACTCAAATGCTTTATTTGCCACTGTTACCTAGAAAAAGTTGGATTTCTTTTGTTTTTTCCATACTGGAGTTTAAACTCAGGTTTTTGTACTCAGGTAGGTGTTCAACAGCTTAGCCCAGTCCTTTTTGCCCTGGTTAGGGTCTTACTTTTTACCCAGGCTGGCCTGGACCACAATCCTCCAATTTTAAGCTTTAGCCATCACTGGGATGACAGGTGTGCACCACCATACCTGTTGAGCTGGAGATCTCAAAAACTCCCTGCCCCAATGGCCTCAAACCACAATCCTCATGATCTCAGCCTCCTGAGTAGCTAGGATTACAGGCGTGAGTCTCCACCACCTGACCCTGGTATTTTCTTACTGTAGGTTTCTTCTCTGAGAATTAAATCCTAAACTACCGAAGGAATGAAAGCAATGGCTCACATGAATATTTTTAAAAGGCCACATCTAGATAAAACTTGGAGCTACAAAAATCACTTTACAAACTTTAGTTGAGTCTAGATAGATTATTAAGACTTTTAAATGCAATTTCCAGTTTTCAAGTTATACTTAATTAGTTTCACTTTTTTTGGGGGGGGTACAGTACTGGGGATTGAACTCAGGGCCTCATGCTTGCTAGGCTAATTACTATTACTCTTAAGATTTTTGTTTATTTTCTATTTGTTTCTTACCTTAATCAATATAATTTATCAAAAATACTGTAATAGGTCCCAAAAAGTTAAGAATTAATAGGTCCACCAAAAAATTCCTAAAAGTCTGGTTTAAAAGTCATTATATTAGGATCATAGCAATTAACCTACTGTAAGAATTAACAAGCAGGATCACTTACCTGAAGAAATCCAAACATTTCTACTGTGTTAATGTCTCTGTTCATGAGTTTAACATGTAGTCTGGTGTACAAATGCTAAAATGGGTGCACAAGTGTAATGAAATCAATGTCAAGTGAAAAGGGATCCATGGGCACTGATGACACACTATGAATGCCCTTTGGAGGCTGCAAGTGTTTACTGAAATTATGCTGTGACCACAATTCTGAGCAATCAGAAATGGCAGCGAGCATCTTACCTTGTAGGACATTCATCTTTTTTATCAATACATATTGTTTGTCCACGTATGTACCATTCACCATCATAATATAGTCTTCCCTCTTCAGACCTAGCACTGTGCAAGTGTTTTTCCAGTTTCACAGGTGCTAAAGGGATCAGTTCAAAAACTGTTATAAGACATTGTCAGAAAAATAAGAATCAGAGTACTAAGTGATAACACCAAGTTATGAATATAGTGAAAAGGCATTAAAAGTATTTCTTAGATAACAAACCAAAAATCTAGTAAAGATGAGAATTTCTTACATTCTTTTATATAATTCACTAAGTTTTTGATATAAAGCTAAACAGTGAACAATGAATCATCACTTGAGACAAGTGCCAAAAGGGGAAGCAGATACATTATCAATTACCAGTGCCAGTTTTAAGTAGAATTAAAAATATCAATTACCAAAAAAAAGTATCTATTACCATAGTTCCTCTAAAAATTATACTTTTCATATTTTCTCCCCTGCAAGACATCTGCAAAGAAGCAGAGTTTTGTGTATATTCCAAAAGGTCTCTAGGCCTTTAATTCTAAAAAGGAACTATCCTACATAGAACTCTATTTTTAAATGCTAGAAATGGTTTGGTATTAGTCAGATAACCCATGCAGGGAAAAAGCATTCCTTATAGAAGCCCACTGTCAAAAGCATTCCATAAAGTAGATACTTCTTCATCAATCAAATGCTCCCTCTTCAGAAAGGTCTTCCCCAACCACTCTTCCCACTCAATTAGTCATCATCACAATGTTACATGTCCTTCATAACAATTATTATCACCTGACACTATCTCAATTATTTATTTACATATATATTATTCCACTTTCCCCAAGGAGGCTCCAAAAAGTCTCTTTCCCCACTCTAACCTCAGAACATAAAATAATGTCTAGTACGGTGTTTGGTAAGAATGCATGCATTTGTTCGTGCATTCATTCTTTAAATGAGCCCTTTCTGTGCTCAAAGAACTGTGCCACGTGCTAGGCAGAAAAAACCGACTAAACAAGATGTGGTGCTAGCCTTTGTGGAGCTTATAGGAGCTCCAGTCAGGAGATAAACAAGTAAACAATGAATTAAAAAATAAGTGCTATGAAGAAAAGTAATAGGATACAATGCTAAAGATAGCAGGTGGGGGAAGGAGACCTAGTCAAATGGGAAGTGAAACTCTCAAAGGAATTCATGACCCCAAAATGTCAAGAACCACTGCTCTAGAGAGCTACACATTTGCCTTTCCACTAATTCCCACGGGCAGTACATCACTACAACATTGTTGTAATTTCCTGACATGATATAAAGTTTAAAGGAATCTTTAGGTTAAAGATAAAATGGAAAGCAATTTCTTATAGATTATTATCTGTTGGAATGTAACTAGAAGAAATTCCTTTTCTTAGTATTTAAAATAAGTTTTTAAAAAATATAATTTCAGCTCATTGTCAACCTGTCTTTCTAAAACAACCATTTCACCTCTGAAAGTGTCTTTCTATTCTAACAATCTTTATCATTTTCACTTAAAAAAAAACAAAACTAACTTCATTGTCCTTGGAAGTATTGGGTAATTTCATCTATAGTGAAAAAAGCAGAAACAGAAAAGTTATCCTAAATGCTAATGTCCATCACAAATTTGGCAGTCATTTTAGACTTTCAAAAAAAAAAAAGCACAGTTTGATGTGAATTTTACAACAGTGTACAAAAATGTGTAAAACCTAGTGGTGGACAAATTTCTTGGATGGACTCCATTGTCAGCATTCTTATCTCCCCAAAAAGGCACACAAATAAGAAAAAGAAACTTAGTATACAACTTCAGAGAATTCAGACTCCCTGAAGCAACTTATAAATTTCAAATATCTCTCCTAAAGAATCACTGAGCCAATAAAAAAAAAAAACTACCAGGAAATACTTCTTGAATTACAGAACCAATATTCACAAGAGCAAGGTGGATGAACATTGAAAGAAGAAATATACTGCATCCAGAAAACCTGAAGCTTTTTCAGGAAGCAAGAGACTGCAAAGAGTTCTTCATGGTTTCAGTTTTAGTGTTCATTGATTAAACAAAATGGATAGGCTAGCTCTTTAATATGCTAAAGACTTAACCACGTAGATTCAACGGTCCTCCCAAGAACATGTCTCAACTCTTGACTTACGCTCTGTTTTCACTCTGTGTGGACCCAGTGTAGCCATTGCCTTAATTAAAAAGAGAAAAAAGAGGAAGAAAGAATTGCCTGAGTTCAGATTGCAAACATATTTTGATCCCTATTTATTATGTACAATACTCCTCATTGGTTCAGTAACAAATATGGTAAAACATAACCATTAGCTGCTCTGATAATTTTTTTCCTCAAAATGCTAGGAATCAAACCCAGGGCTTTGTGAATGCTAGGCAAGCACTCTATCACTAAGTTACACTCCAAGTCTTCTAACAAACTTTTGATGTCTAAGGCCATTAAAGAATACACACAATGAAAAGGTCAGGAATGCTAGCTCACATCTGTAAACCCAGCTACTCAGGAAGCAGAGATTGGGAGGATTGCAGTTTAAGGCCACTTGGGCCTGCTAAGACTACGCAAAGCACTAGGCTCAAAATGGTGATATTATTACTTGGGAGAAAACTGAATAAATGTTTTTCTGTACTCTTATGTAAGTTGTTAATCACATTGTTATAAAATACAAATTGCTGTCATGTCTCTAATTCTTAAAGCATTCTCGCAGTCTGACCACAGCAAAGCATATTTACAATAACCATGATTTGATATATTAGTGAAGAAAACAAAATCAAAAGGTGCTTTTGTTCCATTGGTCTTTCATCATACCTTTCTAATTGTTGTCCAGTCTTCAAGAATATCAAGATCTTGTAGCATATAAACTATATATGGACGTCGAGAAGTCAAGGTTAACTCAGCTTTAAGAACATCTCTGCTTGGACTCTATTTCCAAAGTTCCTATTTTTCAGAAAATGCAAATAATCCTTTGGCATCCTGAATTCTGACTCTGAATATTCTTGAAAAAATTTAGTACCAGAACAAATATATTCTATTACTTCTGTTGCCATAAACATAGTCCCTTTATCCTGTACTGCTAATCATAAAATACACCACCAACCTAACCACTGTTTTTAAAGTTGAGCAGAAAAAGACAAATGTAGGGGGAATGTGCCATAGGAAATGACAAGATTGAATGTATATATTTGTTACATGTTTATATCGATATTCTAATTTCAGAAAACATTAAAAATGCTTTTTAAAAGTACACATGAGGCCAGGCATGGTTGCTGAGGCAAGAGGATCAAGAGTTCAAGGCCAGCATAAGCTACACAGAGAGACCCTATCTTTAAAAAAAAAAGAAAAGAGAGGAAGAAAAAAGTACCCATGAGAACTAATTATGCTGGGTACAAAACAGCAGTTATTTCACGTGAAAGCCCTTGAGAATTATAAAACCATATTAATTTTCAAAGTTGAGGTAGTGACTAAATTTCTTCTCTTTTCCTACCCTTCTTAGTTTAAATTATATCTTATGCCTTCAATCCATTTCATAAATCACCTTTTGCTTATTACAGGACCATCAAAATAAAGTCAATATATAAAGGTATGTAAAATGCAAAAATAAACATCAAGAAAAGGAGAATAGAAATTCTGGAGAAGGATATCTGAAACAACAACTGGCTTCTTTTTGTCAGGACTAAAAGGATCCTTCCTCTTTTTTCTTGACTGAAGCTCATCATTCCACAGTTCTGGCAAGCAAATAAAAATGAAGTGTTAGCTGATTTCTGGTGACTACAGGAGGAAAAGGTGGTACATAATTTTATAACTGCTACTTATTTACATATAAAACTATACAAAACTTCAATGGGAAATATATATATATATATATATATACACACACATATATATTCACATATATACACATGTATATATACATGTATATATATAGTTTCATATATACACACATACATTTAGACTGTATATAATTTCAGGAGCAGATACATACTAAGACATTTTCCCCTGCTTTTATTAAAGCAAAAATCAATTTGGTACTTAGAGAGTAATAACTGATGAACACATCAGGTACTTTATAAAGTACTTATTACATGCACTGACTCACCTAATCCTCAAAGTTACCTCTGAGTAGTATTCTTATTACTTTTCTTTCTCAAACAAGAAGACTGAGGGAATAATGGCACTGGACCTTAATGTGCCTGATTCCACTATGTCTACTCTTTACAGAGAAATATAACAAGTTACATGATACATATTCAAGAGACGTGGGACAGCCTAGTACCCTTCTGTAATACCCCTGCAATAACCAACTTCATGCTGCGCTGACCTAATCATCACTGCTTCCTTTTCCTGAGACAAAAACCTTCTTTCCTGTAGCATGTGCAATTGTCATAGTTTGCATGAAGCCACAGAGGAAAGGGTTGCATTCCTTCTCTCCAGACAGTGAGGAACATACACCATAGCTGTTTTCCAGTATTCTTATGGTAGGTTCCCATCACACTTCTATTTTGTCACTTTTCATGGGTATGAGTTCAAATCAAAGTAACAATCTCATCAAATTCTTCAGAAGTCTCACCCTTTTCCTTCCTGTTAGGACATTCTGTTTACATAACATTAAAATATTATAAGACCAAGACACCTTTACTATAGTAAAGAGGTTCGTTGACACTCAAATACTTCCATCCTATCACGGCCCTTACCTGAGGTAATGTCAATGCTGTGCCTGTCCTCCTCAAGCCTTCTTATTTTCTCTTCAAGCTCACTCTGAACTGTATCATATAACAAAAGCTTTTCACTCTGGGAGGAGGGCATTATAGAAGGAAAATATCAGTCCATCTTAACTAGCAGTACCAAATGACTTACAGTACTTTAATATATGGCAGTTTTCTTTGCTTTTTTAGTTCAATTTTAAAATATTTTTTAAAACACCAGGCATTGGTAGCTCATGCCTGTAATTCTAGCTATTTGGGAGGTTGGTATCAGGAAGACTGCAGTTCAAGGTCAGTCCAGGCAAAGAGTTAGCAAGACCTTGTCTTCAAAATAACCAGAGTAAAATGAACTGGAGGTGTGGTAATGGTACATGCCTGCAACCCCTCCTACATAGGAAACACAGGTAGGAGGATTGCTATCCAAGGCTGGCTTGGGGATAAAGCAAGACCTCACCTAAAAAGTAACTAAAGCAAACAGGGCTGGATATGTGGCTCAAGTGATACAGCACTCCTAGCAAGCACAAGACATTGAATGTCTTATGACACTCAAAAAAATGTACATGTGCTAAAGTAAAACTCAGAGCAAGCTCTCATGGCCTCTTAAAAGTAAGCAGGCCTGACCTGTCACCATAATGAAGAACGTGTCATATAAACTGTATCATTATAGAATGGATCCTATTTCTCATAGCAATGATAAATGGGTCTCTAGTCTCCACATCATATTAAATAGGCCAACATATCACAAAAAGAAATATTAAGTACAAATTTAAAAATAGTTTAATTATACTCAAAATTATAAAATTTTACATTAATTATGTCCAAATAGCTCCACAAAACTGTAGACAGATAAACATGCTAAAACAGACAAGACAGGGCTGGGGATGAAGCTCAGTGGTAGAGCACTTGCCTAGTATGCACAAGGACCTGGGTTCCATCCCCAGCACTGCAAAAAATAATAATAATAATAATAATAATGAATAAAACCAACAAAACTGTTCACTGGCAGATTAGACTAGAACCCAGGTCCACTAGGTCTAGTCTATTGGCTTTGATTATATAACATTGCAGCACCTTATTATAAAAGCTGTAAGATGTACATAAATATACAGACCTATTACAAAAACAGCCTATGACAAATTTATACCCAACCCACCACAGGCTTATCGCAAGTAGAGATATTGGTCCATTGGGATATAGCTAGATTTGACTGTCTTATGCAAGCTACTGTGATGTACTTAGATAGAACTTCTTGTGGAAAACATAGGCCACATCCATGTAGGTAGCATGCCAGGCATCAATCATGAACTCCTCTGTTTTGGGTTTGAAATTTAGAGTCTACACATGCTTGAAGGTTCTCCTGTGTGGTAGGGAAAAGATAGCTTTTGTCAATTGGAGGCCAACCAGGAGCTAAAGTGATAGCAAAACTGAAGAAAACTAAAAGTAGATGCTATATATAGAGAATTATCTCATTGCATGCTGCTCACTATGCTTCTTTTTGTTTGTTCCTTTGACTTTGGTAACTTCTTATGAAATATTCCAGCCTCATCTACATTGTGCTACAAGAATTGGGAAACATTACAATCAGAGAAAAAGGAAAGCAGGCCCCACCCAGAGAGAGTCAAGACCCCATGGCAGCTAGAAATATACCCAGTTCCCCAAGCAATGATGACTCTAAATGTATAGCTGGAGTGATACGGCTTTTGCTTTTAAGAATATGAGTTTGGAAGTCGGGTACCAGTGTCTTACACCTATGATCCTAGCTACTTTGGAAACAGAGATCAGGAGGGTCTGCCTAGCAACCATGAGGTCTTGAGTTCAACCCCCAGTATTAATCCCCCCAAAAAAATGCCAGAATGAGACTGAAATGTTTGAAGCTTCGAAGGCATCTCTAAAGATATTAAAGATTTTGGGTGCCTATAGCTAATGCCTGTAGTCCTAACTACTTGGAAGGCTAAGATCAGGAGGATCGTGGTTCAAGTTCAGCCCAGGCAAATAGTGAGACCCCTATCTCCAAAAGAACCAGAACAAAATGGACTGGAGGCATGGCTCAAGTGGTAGAGCAACTGCTTTAGCAAGCAGGAAGCCCTGAGTTCAAGCCCCACCTCCACAAAAAATAAACATACACAGTTGAAGTGCCTTGAATCTATTCTCATTTTTATTTCCCTCCCCTTCTTAAAGAAAATTTTTTACTTTTTGTCCAACTTTGCAAGACTCTCAGAAGGCTCTCTGAAGAAAAAAGGAAATCCTAATAGAACAGTTAGAGGATGTCTACTAAAGCAAGGGGCACCCAAATTCCCTTGCTTTGGTGATTGCAGAATTTCTATGTACAATAGGTACTTTAGTTATTTAAACACACTACTTACTGCTGGACATGGTGGTACATGACTGTAATCCCAGCTACATGCGAGGCAGAGGTATGAGGACTGTGGTCCAAGGCCAGCCTGGGCAAAACCATGAGATCCTATTTGAAAAACAAACTAAAAGCAAAAAAGGACTGGGGGGTGGGGGGGGGTGTCTCAAGTGGTAGGGCACTTGCCTAGTAAGAACAATCCCTAATACCACCAAAATCTACCAAAATTTATTTTACTAATAAATAAACCTGAATCTGCTCTTTAGCCCTTTCCCAGCCTGACACCTACGCTGTTTCTCATCAATACAGTTTTAAGGAATCCCAGGACAGTGGCCCCCAAGGTACCATTATTGAATGGTTCTTATGCTGACCTGTGTTAAGAAGTCCTGACTTATATGCCTCACAGTTCTCAAGTGCCTTCGGGTCTGGAGCCCAGTGAGATTTTGAAGGACCAGTATTAGCAGAAGTGACACATATTAAAAAGTTACAATAGCTGGCAAGGTGGCTCAGTCTCAGAGGAGGATAGCGGTTCAAAGCCAACCTGGACAAAAAGACCCTATTTAAAAAATAACTAAAACAAGAAGGGCTGGAGGTATGGCTCAAGTGGTAAGCACCTGCCTAGCAAGCACGAGACCCTGAGTTCAACACCCAGTACAAAAAAAACCAAAAAACAAAAAAACAGCTGAGGAACATGGTTAACATTTAGAATTCTATACTTTCAAATGTGAGAGAGTAAAGATGGTTTTGGACAGGAATGATGTGCTAGTTTTAAATAATTCTTTAATGCTCCTAACTTAAAAAAGACTAATTGTTATCTCCTTGAATGTGGCAGAAATAAAGGACTCACTTTTTAATGAGTGGAATACAGGAGGGAGCCAGGTCTGCCTTGTTCAGTCTAGGACAAGCAGCTCCTAGGTCACGAGGACAGCAGCAGCCTGCCAGCCTGTGAAGGAGTCACCTCTGACACAGGTCCTCAACCCCCTGTCAAGCCTTGAGATAGCTGCATCCCTGCTTGACAGACATCTTCACTGCAACTCCATGTGATTCCCTGAGCTAGAACTAACCAGCTAAGTTGCTCCCAAATTCTTGGCCACTGAGACTATGAAAAAAAAAAAAAAAAAAAACATTTATTGTTGCTTATAGCCACTATGTTTTAGAGTAATTTATAAATAACCAATGTAGGAGATCTCAAAACACTGACTTCTACATACCCTTTCTCAGGATATACTGAAAGATACACTCTGCCAAACTGAAAGAGAAAGAGTTCTAGTAGAAGAGAGCAGTGAAGGGAATGTGCAAGTGGTGATGGATAGGTCTCTCAAGAACACAGAGATGCTGCTGACCGAGGAAGCATGTGAAAGAGGAAGCAGGAGGACAGCAGATGGTGAGGCTGGGGCAGGAGGGCTGCTTCCAGGAGGGAGCACCCTGGAGAAATGCAACTGATGCATTTGTGATCACACAAAAATAGCATCAGGACTTAGGTATCCGACAGAAGAAATGTGAGTGCCTTTTTCACCTCATTCTAGAAATCACCATTATAGCTACCTGAAAATAAGAAGCTATTTTAACAGTTGTAGGTCATGAATTTAAGACCTTGCATAATTAAAAAATACATCACAGGTCCCACGCTTATTTTGGCGTTTCTTGAGACCTTTAGGTAACATACTTTTTATTTTGCCAAATACACAGGCTTTGTGAAAGACTCAATAAAGCTGCAAATGTTTAGCTTTATTTTCTTAAGAAAGACAACAACTTAAGGAGGCTTTCACAGATAATGTTAAGAGTCTCTGGGAAGAATTGATAAAGAAAGCTAAAATGAACAACAAATGAAGCATTTACTAATTCCAAGTGAAAAAAAATATACAAGGAAAATTTAAATATAGTATAGCTCTTAGCTTAGTAAACAATACTTATAATGAAAACAGAAACTATGATGTAACAATATTACAGCCTGGGATGAGGGAACTCATGGCATTCTTAGCTTCTATAATAGGAAAATAATGGATAATGTCTAAAGCTGGTATTGTTTAGAAATATGAGGGAAAGTTACAGAAGTACTGGTTAAAATAGATAATTGTCACTGGCAGGTAGAAATTTAGAAGACAAGAGACTGCTATTTTTTTATTATAAGCCTGTGCCTTCAGAAATATATATACACATTACATGCTAGAAACAAATTGCTAAAGAGAATTTAGAACCATAGCATGCTCATGAAATGCCACTCCCAAATAAATTAGATGCAAGGAAATATGTATACTATCAAATCAATTATGTTATCAAACAGATGCTCACTTATTAGCAGTGACTACCTCTGTGGTAGAGTATGACTTCAGTTCCTTATTTATAATTATTTCTCAAGTTTTCTTAATTGATACTTATCAAGGCTATAATCAGAAAAAAATTAATTAAATGATAGATGATCAAAAAACCTGAACAGCTCTCACCAATCTTCTCAAGAGCTGGTACCTAACCCTGAAACTGAGGTCTCTGACTGAGACCTTGCTACCTCCTGATGTCAGCTCTCAATTCCCATCTTAAGCCCATATAAGGCTGAAGGAGCTGACCTAAGTAAACCATCTGCACCTGTCTTATTGTCTGACACATTGTGCTATTCCATACATGGGATTTCCTTCTGAACTGATGCAAATTCTCTGTGGTTTCTTGACACACTTTCTGTATGCATGCCTTTGTGAACATGTAGTCTCTGGTCCTCCTCTCTATCTGCTGCTAATCAAACTTGCATTCCAAAAATGGGCAGAATGTCTTCCTTCTTCCTGTTTCCCTTGTCTCTCACTTATTTCTATGTAAG